CCCTCAGGCAGAAGCACTTCTAATGAAGCTGAACGTTGCTAGAGGTTCCAGAAGAAAATAATAGGAATAAGGCCAGGCAGGGGGCCCAAGCTGATCAAAGTCCTCGGCGCAGGGAGCTCAGCACCAGAGAGAAACCTCATGGGGGCTAAATGAAGTTGAAATCAGCCCTGGATCACCCACCACGCCAGCTGACTTTGAAAGGAGACTCCAAAACCCAAGGTCTTAGAGCAGCACAGTACAGGAGTTCACTGCATGGATGGGAGTAGGAGGGAGAGGGTGTCCTTCAATTCTCAGATACTTTGTGCAAAATAACTGCTTTCGAATCCACAACAATACCTGCAGTTTTCTAGTCTCTAGCAATGTGAATTAATGCATAAAGCGTGGCAAGCTGAGGTCTCGTGATACCCAGCCTGCACTCACACTGCTACGCTCTGCCCCTTCCTGCCTCTCCTGCTAGCCCTGCATCCTCAACTATCAGGCAGGACGAGGAAGGAAAATTCTCTACACTCCTCTTCAGGACATTTGAGAAGTCACTCTTCCCATTTGCAGTCTTCTTCATAGCCAGGAACCCCTGCATTTCCAATGTTTTTACAAGGATCTGAACAGATAAATGAAATCAAGAATCCAATAAAAATAACATCATGTTTTCCTTCTTACGTTCGCTCTGTGAAAAGAATAATTTCCTTCTTCACCCACCACTGCTGTTCCTCGCTCCTATGGTTTCTGATCTTTCCTCGCCCCAGTAGGAAGAGAGGGAAACTTACTGTCATCAGGAAAACCAAAAGGAGGAAGTCTTCTTAGCATACACGTCCCACTGGGGAGCACAGGGTTTAGCCCAGATGGCTCACAACAGATTCCAACATGGCCAAGCGTAAAGAAGAAACTTCCAAACCATGTGTTTGCACCGTGATGGGCGGTACTCCCACTGCAGGTGGGTGAAAGACTGGCACTCAGTGTAGCTCTCTTCTACATTTTCTCACCTGTCCACTTCTGTGCCTGGAACAATCAAATCTAATCATACTGCTTCCAGTGATTGCTCTTCCCTGAAATCTAAAAGTATTGGGCTGCTTATTATATACCAGGAGTCAAAGAAAGAACAGTGGAGTCAGAAAGCTTTGGCAGACAAGTTTAGAAAAGCCTGTGTGCAGAGCAAACCAAGCACCTAGTGAAAAATGTACAGCAAGTATTTAAAATACAGCACCAAACGTTTTACATTTATCAGACCTTCCCATTGACTTCAATGGGAACACTCTGCTTTTATGCATGGAAGATTGCGCAGGCATAGCATATCCATCAGGGAAAAAAAAAAGTTAACAAAATCTCTAGACACAGAAGTAGTAGGTGGACAAGGGCAATCCGAGTACTGAGAAAAGCTCTGCAATAGATTGAGGCAAAGAGGTACCTTGTCCGAAAAACAAAAGCCCCGATACTGAAACAACTAGAACAAAGAATGTACTTAGAAAGTAAAACTTAAAAATGGAGATAAGGAGCATAAGGACTGAACCAAAGACATAAGGACAATTTATTGACATACATTAGAAGCAGGAAGACTGCACAACAGTTGTCTGGCAAGTCTGAAATAGTACTGGGAAACAAAGGGAGTGAATAAAGAGGAGAAAAAACACTGCAGAAAAGATAACTGATGATTATGACCTTGAGAGACTTAGTCATGCAAAAGGGTAAACTCACCCTTTCTCACCCTGTATGACCACATTAGCATTTCTTGTTGGGAAAAAAAAAAGTAGACCCACTACTTCCAGTGAAAGTTCAAGATTATACCGCCCAGTCTTTCATCTCCCAGTTCTCTTTCACACCAGCCAACAGCACTCTCCCTCCAAGGTGGGAAGTGAAAACCACATTCTGGAAAGTTATGGAATAAGACGTCCCTTCTCCTCAACAGGAAAAGGGAGGAAACATGACTTTGTGACACAAAATTCTTGCACAGTCCATTCTGGGGGGGAGTGGAGCAATACTGACACTACCCCATATTCCTGGATACACCTTTATCTCCTGATGCCCAGAAATCCAGACAGACCCCAAAGTACCTTTTAGCTTCAAGAGAATTTATTAAGGCTCAACACAAGTGGAAAAATCTATGATATCGAAGTGATCAAATTGTCTCCTCTGGTCCCTCCAGACAGATGAGACAAATCCCATGAAGCAATTCTTTTGCAAGTAAAGGGAGAAAGAGCAGCAGATACCAAAACAGCAAGTGCTGAAATAACAGGACAAATGAAAAGGCAAGCAGGAGTTCTGAAGCTGCTCAAGGTTGGAGGCAGGGTTTCCAACAAAAACCTGCTCTCTCCTGTCAGGAACGAAAGGGTAGCACTCCTTAAAAATAGCCACAAATGATGATCCAGATTACATGCCAATGAATTCTAGCATTTAGTAGACCTTCTGGAAGGCTACTTTAACAGATTATAACTTTAATGCCTAAGCAGTGATTACATAATGGAGAGAAAAACAACACCGCTAACATAATGAAAAATAGGTCTTTTTTAACTTGGAGTGCATCCGCAGAAGAAATTACTATTTATTTGGCCTTTCAAAAGGGCTTTGATAATGTGACTCATAAAGACCATAAAGAAAACAGAGTAATCATGACTGAAAGTTGGAGTCATGATTAAAACCGAGCTAAGCAGCCAAAATTAAAATGTAGGAATAAAAAGAAAGACGTTTTAAGAAGAGAAAGGTTAACTGTTGTTGTGTGCAGAGGCCATGCTGGTTATCAGCTTTTAACTTCAGTTAGCAGTCTGGAAAGATCAGCTCTAAAACAAGAGTGGCAAAACTGACAAGGGAGGGGAGTGTATTTGGGTTACTGAAGGGTTTAAGGAGTCAATCTGAAACACTATAATTTTTATTTTTTTTTTTTTTAAATCATTGCTAAGGAAATCATATTGCAACGTTCTCGGGGAAGGGGAAAGACCAGGGTGCCATCGTAACAAGTCGACAAAAGCTTTCATGTACACGCAGAGATGTCAAATAAGGCAAGTTTTATGATGCATGCGAGAAAGCACAACATTACCCTCCTAATATATACCTGCCAGGGAAATACCTTCACGGAGAATGCCATCTCCAGTTCTTTTCACCTCACCTCAGTAAAGCTACAGAGGTAAGAGCAGTGCAAGGACAGGTGACTAAAATGATTTGACTTACAAAAAGACTGCCGTATACAAAACCACGAGGTGATGAACCCGTTTGTGTTAGCGAGCACGTGAGCAACAGGGAGCACAACAGAGACACGTACTTTGAAAGTCAGGAATTGTCATCTGACTTTCTCGCCTACTTCCAGCCTTGAATGGGATTATTCAGTGAAATGAAATAAGCAGCAAATTCAAACGGTGGGAATACATTATTTCTACAAAGTGCAGGCTGAGCATGCGAAAAATCGGCACCATCATTAGGGGACATCAGTGGGATTCTGAAAGAATACGGTTCTATTCATAGCCCACAGAAATATAGTGTTAAACGGGATTGTTTGCTGGAAAGACCATAAAGATCTTTGCGCAAAGCCATGATAGAGCCATTGGCCAAGGGATCTAGCTGGCCCACTTTCTGACAAGGACAGGGTATTCCAAAAGGATCAAATGTTGGTCGTCTTTGCCCTCCGTTCTCTTACCAATCAACCCTTTGTAAGAACTGTCAGGGTAGACTTAGCATTAATTAGACTGTGGATCTGATCCAATGCAGTAATTTCTACTTTTGTTTCCTATGGCCAAAAGCAACGTCAAAAAAAAAAAAAAGACAAGTTCACTTTAACTAAAGCGAAGTCATTCATCCTCTAAGCGAGCTGCTTAGCCTGATACAATGCTATCAATGCATCGCTCAAACTTCTCAAAAATAATTAAAAACATCTACTTTTGCTTTGCCACCTGCTCTTCCCCTTCCTGTAAATAATTAGCAAGAACCTGAACTGGAAGACATTGTTTTACTATACAAATGCGTTTCCTTGTTTATTTTATTATCTTTTTTCCCCATCCCCACATCTTTATTTGCAAAACCCATTTAATAATTATAAAGGGATTCCAAGATGTGTGTCAGATCCTGGGATATTGCCACTTGTCTGGTGGTTTGCTACAGTTAGCCTTCAGTCTTGTGGCTAACAATTCACCCAAACTGTGATAATACCTCACCACAACCCACACGCTGCTGCTCTTCAAAGGAAAACAAGGGTACATAATTAAGAGATGATGAGCTCAAATGTAAGAGAGGAGATGAGGGAGCAGATTCTGTAACCACACCTGTGAGTGGTTATACTACTGAAGAAGTTTTTTCAGCTCCATCTTCACTCACAGTATCAGTAAAAGTCATGCATTTTCAAAACACATTTGCAGCAGCAGAGGAAAAAAAATAGTGATAAAATCATGCCACTGCAGAAGAATAGCTTTAATATCAATTATCCAGAATTCAGATTATAAATAAGCATTATTAAGAAATAGCCCTTGTAACAAGCATGAACTACATCTTATATAAATATATATATATATATATATATATACACACATACACAGTTTTACTGGAAATACTGTCAAAATCTCATCCCACAAGAACTGTTACCTGAAAATATTCTCAAAGTCTCATTCCAGGCTTTTGCGATTCTGTAATTGCCACCATAATATAAAGAACTATAGACAAAAACATCTGTGTGTATATGTGCCAGTTCAGTGGCTAATGGTGCAGCACACTGCATGGAAATAAATACTAGCAAGTGGATACAGATACATTCTAGAGCCTACAGGGTCAATCCCTTGTTGGATATTCAGAATAAAAAGGCATACCAAACCACTTTCCTTATTACTCTGTAAAGTTGGAACTAGTTTTTGTTGGTTTTGTCATGGTTAGTGAAGGAGTTGAGAGATCTGGGGCAGAACAAGATGCAAATAAAGCTACCAAACTCAAGCAAGGACAACCGACTGTTCTTCAGAAATATGCATTAAGAAATAATAGGATTACATGATTACTTGATTTCTGATTTAAAAAAAAATAATATTTTGTTTTACCTGAAAGAAGTCCATGTTTTGTCACGCCAAAGGACCACGTCTCCACAAGCGAGTGCCCGACTGCAGGGCCAGATCCTCTAAGTGGCAGCCACACCCTCCTCTTCCTCATTTTTTGTCACTGACCATGAAATGCTTTCAAAGCCAGGCACTGGAAAAAAAAACAAAACAAAAACACCCAAACATTTTTAATGGACACCAGATACCACATTGCTGATTTAATTAGGCAGATTAGAAACAAATAAACATATTTGCACCCATATATTTGTATTTTCTGTTCCATTTCAAACAAATTTGGTAGGCCTGATTTGACACTCTATTCAAATCACAGGAAACATCATTAAAAATGCTCTACGTTGATGGCAGAATCAAGCCCTCATTTCTTTTTAGCATTGAATATAACGTGTTTTCCATTGGTACTGGAAAAATTCACAAATCAGAGGCTTTTCAGAGCATCCTCAGACAAGCCTGTGTATTTTGCAATAGTAATAGATGCCAACACAAAGGCAAGCTTAGAAAGACGTTCTAGAGGTTTTCTCCTCAGTCCCTGGGGTTCTATGGACTTGAAACTCAGCCAGATCTCTTTAACTCTAAAATAAATTTCTATTTTTAAAATCAATTCAAAAAAAAACCCCATTTGAGTAAAGCTTTCTCGTCTTATGTATGCTCATAACCTCACCCAGATTATCAGGTGCTTTGGATCAGAGTATCTACAGGACAGTTCATAATGATACTGCATAGCAAGTATCACCCAACACATCCTTACTCTTACTGTATTTTATACAATTTATTTTATCAATAATTTCGCAGCACATTGGACTATATGGAAATTGATTGTTGCTATAAACTGTTTTGCATATTGTATCATCTGCTGGCTTTAATTCATTATTTAAATGACACTGTAATTATACAACATTTCATATTCTATTTAACCAGAGAATATTGACTATGAATACAAAGTGATAAAAACAACTTTTCCTACCATCTCAAAACACACCCCCTTATTTTCCAATAACCAGCTCCAGCATTCAACAACAAAGCAAAAATACAGTATATTGAGGATTCAGCAACCTAAAGCTCAATTTTTTTGCAAACAACTGCACAAAGATCAGCTGTTCAGCTATCATTAGGACGATAAAATTAACAGGAAAATAAACTGCCTGATTATTGAAATTTAGAACTAAATATGTAACCTGAATCCACAGCTTCATGCTATTCTGTTTGCTGACGGAGCAAAACTGATATTAAAATAAAAACGTTAAGGCTATATTAAGATGTGTGTTAGGGGACGACAACATCTATTACAGGTAGTGTACTAAGTAATGCCAAGTCCAAAATGATTTTGTAATCCCAGCACCTACTACATATTTATCCGTGTATGATTGCGTACCCCCTTATAAACAAGTGATACACTCGCACTATTAGCAGAGGTGTTTGCAGTTCCTTATTGTCCTACATCCCAATAGGTTTCCAGTAGACAATTTTGAAATCTCAAAGCCTGCATAATGCTGTATTCTGCACATAGAGTAAAATATAATTAACCTGCAGAATAGCCTCGGTACTATAGTATTTGTAGACATCTTTATTCACCCAGAAACCTTTTTTCTTTAAATGGCAGAGTATGAGGTGATACGTGTACCTCTCATCATACTGGAGTGCTCTGACACAGAACGCTAACTTTTAAATCCAAATACATAGGAGGGGAATGTTAGCACGTTACTGTTTTACTGGTCTATAAAAATCCACCCCGCAAAGCCCTCCCATCCACGTATTCCACATCAGAAAGGCAGACTTACTCCAGACTTTGTGTTCATATTCACCAAGGCGCTCTGCAAAAAAAAGGGAGCAGACAGAAATCCACGGGTTAACAGAAGAAAAAAAAAAAAACCACCAAACCAAAACAACAAACCACACCACCAAAATCCCCAGCCATGCTGAAGACCTCGCAAGAAAAGGAAAATATTCAGCAGATAACAGCCTAACAAAAAGGGAACAGAGAATTTAGTGTCTCGGTATTGCCTGGATACCAGGTTGGGATTTAGGCAAGCCTTGGATTACAAGGACTATTCCCCTGAAAAATCTAGCCCACGGTTCCTGCGCTGTTTCCGACCAATACCACATCCAAACTGTGACTAAACACCTCATTATGCTTCTCTGGCACTATCTGAAGCAAACATACTGTACAATTTTATGTGGCACCTAGAAGCGGAGGGGGGAAAAAAAAGGGGCTATTTTTTCTACCGAACGGTAATGAAATGACAAATGGCAAGTTCCGTGCAAAACCTTGCATGATCAGTAAATGTTGTCGTGTCCCGTCCCCCCCCCCCCC